AGGCAATGTCGACTACGTGACTCTTGTTGTGCCCGACTTCTCCATATTATTGTTAGTAATCGCGGCAGACGCGTCGGGTAGAGGGATTGGTGCAGTCTTATCCCAGGACCGACAACCGATTGCATACATGACTTAGAAACCCGATTTCTAACTATCTTGGGATTGGGACTCATTTGTCGGGTTATTATTATTTTGTGGACCTTTTGTGTTGTGGGTATTTTTGGATTATTTGGGTATTATCGGTTATTAGGAGAATATCGGGTAGTTATAGGGGAATTATCGGATTATATATATTATGTATTCGTGGGATTAGTGGGTTAATAAATTACAGAACAAGAATTCCCTAACCCTAATCTTCCTCTCTTTCTCTCTCTCTCTCTACTCGGCCAACTTCCCCTCTTGTCTTCTTTGCTGCCGTCGGCCTCCACCCAGGAGGACACCACTTCTTCTTCTCCTCACCAAATCACTCTTCCCCATTCTTGTGATTACTTGTCGATCTTCGGATTAGTGAACCCTAATCGTGCACATCTAGATCAAGGTTTTTAATAGTGCTATCAGAGCCTGGCTGGCGTGTCAGTTCACGCGAGATCAAACGAAACGCCATCCAGAGGAGAAGACGCAGAAGGAGACCGTGGTCATAAAAATCACACCCAACATGAGACGCTTCTGGGTTTCATGAACAAGATCGCTGTCAACCTGATGGAGGCTCGCGAGCAGCTGTAGATGGTTGGAGCATGCATCGAGGATTCTACACGACATATTGGTGTGGAGCTGGCTGAGTTTCGCGAGCCGACGGTGGAGGCGGTGGAGGTGGCGGTGAGCAAGGGAACCCTCGAGACAGCCGCAGCAGGCGGCGTGATGGCCGCGACAATGCTGGGCAACGAGGGAGGCCGCGGGGCTGTGGAGGGATACCCTAGCCGCATGGGCCAAGGCAACACCGGGCCCACCCATGGAGCGGGTCTGCCGCTCAAGCCCACAGACCAGAAAATTGCGGCGGCTCGCGGAAAAGCGAAGCCAGCCGGGTAAGAGTAGGCGAAATACGGGTTCGGGCCAGAGGCCAAGGAATTCGAATGGAGCAGCTATGGGCCGGAAGGATGGATTGGCCATCTGGGCCTAAATCGCGAATGACCGGAAGAGGAGATGAGTCTGGCGAGTTACAATGGGAGCTGGGCCAACCCTGGATCCTGGAGACGGGGCAGGGATCGGAAGTCAAATCCGGAGAGCTTGACGAGCACATGGAGGGGCACGACGGCTGGTCGTTTCCACAGCCTCCCTGGGGCGACGCAGGACTCGACATTAGCGGTGGCCGAGGATTTCCTTCCTATGGCATAGCCAGGTATGGAGGGTATAATCCAATGTTTGAAGGTCATGATGATTTGGTCTTTCGAGTTAAGCCGCAAGTGATTGAGTTTCCAAAGTTTGATGGTCACGGAGACGTGGGTTTGTGGCTGAGAGGTGGTTTCGAAACCACTCCACACGGGAAGAGCACAAGGCCACCTTGGCATCCTTTTATCTGGAAGGGGATACACTGCAGTGGTGGGAATGGATGGAGCGATCTTATGCTGCAGCAGGAACGGTGATCACGTGGACCCGGTTCCAAGAGGAACTCAGGTACCAGTTCAGCAAGGCCGAAGGGTGGGCACCCGAGCAGTTGGCTAAGCTTAAGCAGACAAGCACCATCGCGGAATACCGATTAGAGTTCATGAGGTTGGGTAACCAGTGCAAGGAAATGATGGAAGAGACGTTGGTGGGATTGTGCATGGCAGAGCTGCGACCGGAGCTAGCAGCAATAGTCAAAGTTTTTGAGCCTGACTCTTTGGGAGTTGTTTTCAGACTTGCGGGTCATAAAGAGGACGAGTTAGCCAGCTGGAATGGAGGCAGTGGGCGCATGACACGGTGGCGGGAGGATCCAGTGGTGGAACGAGTGGAGGCGCAAGTTCCGGGGCTGTGGCTGCACCAACATAAGGAGCGGCAAATCCGGTTAGCACAGGATTTTCACATGTGGGACGAATCTCTGCTCGATTGCCGCCAAAAGGGAGCAGAAGTGCAGGCATGGGCGTTGTTTCAACTTCGATGAGAGGTACACGGTCGGCCACTAGTGTGCGAAGGGACATATGATGTTGCTCGTGGGCAACTAGGAGGACGAAGCGGAGGATTTGGAGGTTAGAGGTACTGTAGAAGAGACGAACGCTGAGAAGAGCGAAGGCCAATCTTGGGGCAAGATTGGTCGTAAGGGGGATGGATTGTTAGAAATCCAATTTCTAACTATCTTGGGATTGAGACTCATTTGTCGGGTTATTATTATTTTGAGGACCTTGTGTGTTATTTGTGGGTATTTTCGGATTATTTGGATATTATCGATTATTAGGAGAATATCGGGTAGTTATAGGGGAATTATCAGATTATATATATTATGTAATTGTGGGATTAGTTGGTTAAGAAATTATAGAACAAGAATTCCCTAACCCTAATATTCCTCTCTTTCTCTCTCTCTCTCTACTCGGCCAACTTCCCCTCTTCTCTTCTTTGCTGCCGTCGGCCTCCACCAAGGAGGGGACCACTTCTTCTTCTTATCCGCGCCGTGCGATCTCAACGAGTCCGACCCATATCTGCTTAGTTGCTGGGAAATCGCAGTCAGCGAGGCTTGGTATTCTTCAGGAGGCGCATGGTTCTTCCCCGGGGGTCGTCCTTGGTGACAACGGTACTACAGGAGTTGACTCACCATTCGGTGGTCATTCTGCAGTGGAGCAGACGCTTCGGAGGATTCGTGCTAAGTTTTACTAGCCGCAGATGGGTCAGGATGTGAAGGACTATGTGGCGTCTTGTGACACGTGTTAATGGGTCAAGGCCTCCCATTTGCGACCGGCCGGCCTTCTCCAGGCCTTACCGGTGCTGGAGCGGGTGTGGGAGGACATCAGAATGAATTTCATTGTGGGGCTTCCACCATATGGAGGGAAGACGACCTTGTTCGTCGTTGTGGATTGGCTCACGAAGTATGGCCGTTTCATGGCCATGGCGCATCCATATACAGCGCGGACAGTAGCGGATCAGTTTGTGCTGGGAGTGGTACATCTCCACGGGTTTTCGCGGTTGATTGTTAGTGACCGACATTCCATCTTCTTAAGCGGCTTCTGGTAGGAGGTCTTTGCACTGTCAGAGACGACACTGCGGATGAGCTCAGCATACCATGCTCAGACTGACGACCAAACGGAGGAGGTCAACCGCTATCTTGAGCAGTATCTGTTCTGCTTTGCCCATCAACATCCGCGGCGGTGGTTAGCTATTCTTCCCTGGGCTGAGTTGTGGTATAACTCTACATAACACCGAGCTATTTAGACCACACCGTTCAAGGCACTGTATGGCCGCCCACCATCCTCCTTGGTGCGCTACCAGAGTGGTATTAGCCCTGTGGATGCGGTGGATCGCTAGTTGGATGCTCGAGATGAGACTTTGGGGCAGCTGAAGACCAACCTGGCAGTGGCGAACAACAAGATGAAGTAGCTGGGACATTCAAGGAGACGCGAGGAAGAATTTGAGGTGGGGGATTGGGTGTTGCTTCTCCTGCACCCGTATCGACAGGATTCAGTCTTCTAGCGGGCGTACCAAAAGCTCGCTGCCCAATTTTTTGGACCTTATGAGGTGCTGCAGAAGGCCAATCCGGTTGCTTAACGCCTACAGTTGCCTGCAGATGCGCGCCTACATCCAACCTTTCACGTGTCTCTTCTGAAGAGATAACGGGGGAGGCTGATTGATTGGAGACGACTCCGCTACTAGTCTCTGCGGATGGTGACTTGGAACTGACCCCGTTGCAGGTGTTGGATACGAGGTGGACGAGGAAGGGCGGCCGCTCAGTCGGGGAGAGCCTTATTTCGTTCAGCACATGAAGCCGGAGGATGCCACCTGGGAGAAGTTGGTGATCATTCGACAGCGTTTTTGACCTTCGACCTTGAGGGCAAGGTCATTTTCGATGAGGGAGGGGATGATAGAAACCTGTAGCACGGGTTGGGTCAGTAGGGGGCGGGTTGGCCGAGATAGCCGGGTACGAGTGGCATATTTGTTATTTTGCGTTATTTGTCTAGAACTCATACAAAAGGGTTAAGAACACTCATTTTCGGATTAAGCAATAAGAATATCCAAATCCCTAAATCCTATCTTCCTCTCGTTTTTCCCAATTCTTCTCAATCCCTAATTTCTTTTTCCCAACCCCTAATTCTCCCTCATTTCTACAAGGTTCTATCACATGAGTAACCAAATCTGGATCCTTCTCTTAAATGGCTGCAGATCTAATAGTTGTAAATTAAAGACATTTTATTTCCCATATTTTTATTAATCAGATCATATCTTCTTCATTCTAACTCGGATTTCAAATTTTTTTTTTTGCACAGATGAAATGAGTTCGTTGTGCTCTACAAAATGAGATCCATTTTCAATATTTTTTTAGAAAAAAAATTCATAGTTCCCGTTAACAACTCCATACCATATGGTATCTCCTTCGCTTTTTAGTCGTTTTCGGAAAATTTTGCACAAAAGTAACGATTTAATAATGATATATTAGATTTCAACAATTTCTTGGTGAAAAAATTTCATACCTCTCGTTACCAACTCCATACCATACTATACCACCTTGGTATGAGGTGATATTTTTCATACAATAGGGTATCTTCTTATTTAATACTAGTCAATACCATATGGTATAAACTGATAATAGCTGGCTCAAATTTTTTTGTTCTAAAATATATCAAAGTGGATATAATTTTGAAGAGCACAATTAATCTGATCTAACTGTGCAAAAAAAAATAAATTCCAACACAAAACGAGTGAGAAATCGTCCGTTAAAGATTAACGGGGGAAATTAATGGCTTTCCAGTAGAGAGAAGGGTCACTGATGTGGCGGATTCTGATTGGGTATGCATGGGTTATTGCTGGGTATGCATCCGCTCCCTATCCAAGGTTATGATTTATTGATGGTTTGGGGGTGGAGGAAGTGTTGAGGCGGGAGTTTAGGAAGGTGGGTCTTTGCCCTTAGGCAACAACACTGGGTTGATGTTGGGGAGAACACCACCGTGGGCAATGGTCACTACGGCAAGCAACGTTCCGTGCTCCTCTTCATTCTGGATTGCCAGCAACACATGGCAAGGGATAATCCTGTTCTTCTTGTTGTCACAGATAAAATTCCCAGCCATCTCAAGAACCTTGGCACATTCAAGACCAAAATTAATTAGGGTTCAAAGGGAGTTTCAACAAGTCAGGAAGAAATTCAATTTAGGACAATTTCAATCAGATCGGAGAAACAAGGGAAGCTGAAAGGGAAATAAAAGGGGAAAAGAGCCGAGAAGAAGTGAAACTTACTTCAGCATCCAGATACTGGCACAATCACCTTTGCCGGCTATAGTAATCGAAGCTCGGCGAGCTGAAGCGGATCTTCCACTTGGAGGACAACTCGACTTGTAAACTCCCTGAGCGAGTGCGAGCAATCCCCAAGCCCCGGGGAGACGAAGAGGTGCGTGGGGTTGTCACACCTAAGCCTTTGCGAGAAGGATTCTCGGCGATCAATGGAGGGAAATAGTTCCCTGATCGGAGATACTAGACCAGCAAAAGAGGGGAAAGAAGTAGACGAAGAAGAGAGGAAGGAAAAGTATGAAGATAAAGGGAGAGACTGAGAGTAGAGAGAGAAAGAGAGAGTTGGGGGAAAGCAAGGTTGTCAAACCGCGGGTCGACCCGGACCCGGACGAGCTAGTGGGTCATGGGTCAATGGGTCACCCGTTTTAGCCCGGCTTAGCCCGGAAATCTGAAAAGAGCCAATGTATTCTATTTATCCTGAATCCAAAAACCTGAATATCACAAAATTGTATCAAACCATAGCTATACGAAAGAAAGAAACCATTTATTGGAGTCAAGTCTCAAAGGTCAAACCCTTACCAAATGAAACCATTCACAAAATTCGTTTCCATTTACAAAATTGTATCAACCATTCATTCGTTTCCATTTACAAAATTGTATCAAGTCTCAGAGATCAAACCCTTACCAAATGGATATTGAGTTTGTGAAGAGTGAAGACTGAAGAGGCGGTCGGGCAGAGGCGGGTGGGCAGAGGAGACGAGCACTTCTCGCGAGCGGAGGCGGCCAGGCAGAGGAGGCCGAGCAGAGGCGCGGCTCGCGAGCAGAGGTGGCCAGGCAGAGGAGGCCGAGCAGAGGCGCGAGCAGGGCCGAGCAGAGGCGGAGCTGAAGGGAGGAGAGACGGAGCCGTGAAGGCCGACCTGATCTTCCGCCGGCGACCGCGACCACGCCGCCAAAGAACCCTGGAGATGGCGAGAGCAGGACACGGCTGCGCTGCAGCCTGATGGAAATCGAAATGGGCGGCTAATGGAGTCTCTAGAGTCTAGGGTTTCGCTGCAGGGAGAAGAAGAAGTGGACCGTCCAAGCCAAAACGGCGCCGTAACGGCCAAAACGGGGCTCAGGAAGATCAGCCCGCGGACCCGTTCCAACGGGCTAACCGGCCGGGCCAACCCGGGTTTGACCGGGTTTATCCGGGTTTGACCATTTCCGGGCTGATAGTAAAATGGGTTAGTATGGCACGTTTTTTTGGCCGGGTCCGGGTTAATCCGGGTCGACCCGCGGGTCGACCCGCGGGTTAACAACCTTGGGGGAAAGTGTTGTTTTATTCATTCGTTAATTAATACAAAGAGTTTCATCCTATTTATACTAGTAGCGTGGGCCCTGGCCATTTGGCCGAAGAAAGGTGAGGTATGAAATTTGATAATGTAATGGGGTGTATAGTTTATTGTTGTATAGTTTTTTTTGGGAAATACGTGATCTACAAAACACTATAAGGCAATGTCAATAAACAACCTTTGCCACGTCAGCCGTTGCTCAAACGACCGCACAGTGCGGGGGTATGGACATTTCCAATCCATCTCTTTCTCGGGGTCTGTCTTCCGCTAGGCTGTCGTAAACCGACTTTCCTGTCACATCTATACTCTCTTCTCTCGTCGCATCTTCCCCATCCATCTCTTCCTCGGTCATGATCTTCCGATACCCTGGCGAAAAGGGGACTTCTTCGCATCTGACGAACATCCCTATCTCTATTTTCGGTGCCGCCCTATCTCTATTCCCTAGCTCTGGGCCATCGGTGTTTTGTCATCGAAAGCTCCTAGAAAACCTCCCATCTACGACTTCCCAGTGAACCTCGCATAGCCGTAATCAGACCAACTTCCCCTGTACCTGTATGTTACCTTAGTTTGTCCCTTTTAATTTTGGCTTTGTGGAACCTGTTATTAGGATTTTTACTCTCCTTTTCTTCCCTCTGTTTTTGCTTTTGTAATGGGCAATTGGGCATGTGATCCAATTGCTAAATTCCCGTCATCGATTATGTTCTACGGTGGCCTACTGTTGTTCTATGCTTTTGAAGGGATTAAGACCCAATTTACGAATTTTTCTCTGGGCAACTGTCTTTTGAAGAATCATTTTTTCTTTACTGATTTGTTACCTCTCACTACATGATTTATGTTGGGTGTTAAACGATTGCAGTAATGCCACCAAAGCATCGTTGTGATGTATTTCTTCTAGCCAAAAGAATTTGTCCTCCATTTACAACACTAACACTCGATGTAATATGCTCATCCTATTCTCAGTTTCATATTTTGCCAGATTGTATGTAATGTATGTACTCTGTCTGATAGTTATTTAATTTCTGTGTTCCATTTTCTTCAATTTTTCAGTTTTTCTTGGTAGCAGGTAGCCTCTGTGTCACTTTTGGATAGGAGCATATTGAATTTGTATGTTTGTGGCCGCAGCAATTTAAACTCATGGGATTATGATGCTGCAATCTGAAGGCTAATTCCTTCCCAGGGTATCAACTAATGCCTTCACTTTTCTTTATGGTTTTGTGTTTCCCTCTTATTTTTAGCTTACCTTCATCCACTGAATTTGCCTTTGTGTTAGGACTTAGGGATGGCAATAAAACCCGAACCCACGGGTACCCATCCGACCCAATCCGGTCAACGCGGGTAAAACCTGTGTTGACGGGCTGTGGGCCGGGTTCGGGTTTAAATCCACTAAACTATTCACCGGGTCGGGTTGGGTTTGGGTTTAGGTAAACCCGTCCCATGGGTACCCGCCCACACACAAATAATTACTTTCCCGGTATATTTAATATTCTAAATAATATATCTTCTTTAAACAACTAATATTCTTTATGTTTGTGGAGACATGTATTATTTGTTCTTTCTAATTGTTTAGGATGAAGTTGATATTATGAAGTGAAGAGTGAAGAAACATAGTTGACGAGGAAGAAGCTTTAAGTTAATCTTATTGTTTATAGATGTTTATCTTTACTTTTGTACAATTTGTATTGATCATTTGCGGTTTGCTTGTATGCTCTAGATTGATGTTTTTGTATGATTAATTTGTATGAGAAACTTGATGTTAAACTTTTATTTTGAAAGAAAAATGTTATTGTAAATATTTTACCACAAAAACCCACGGGTACCCATGAACCCGCGGATACCCAGCGGGTTGGGTTGGGTTTGAGTTTTTCAAACCCAACGGATTTTACCCCGGGTTTTTTTGGCGGATAAACCCATGGGTTTGGGTTTGACAAAACCCGCCCCAACCCGACCCATTGCCATCCCTAGGACTCCATTTACTCAGCTGCGTAAGATATAAATTTATATTTGCCTTTGCCCAACCTGTTGCTGAAAATCATTTGTGTAGCTACACCATCCGAAACTTCTGTTTAATATTATGGTTTTATATATGGGGTGTTTAGTTTTATCTTTTTATTCAGGTTCCTATGCAAACTCGGTATCTAGGTTGTTTCTCTTATGGATTCTCCTCTTTTGTTTAGTTTGAATGGATGACAATATGCAGGGTTTTTGCCTGCAATCTTTTCTTATCTTTTGGATAGTTCCCCTATGGATTCACTTATTTTGTTTCTCAAGTTTCAGTCATAACTGTCAAATCAATCTCAAGTTTAGTCCAGTCCAATTTTAGCTACTGACATGAGTTGCTGCACTTTTTAATATAATTTGATTGTTGATGATATTAATGATAAGCTATTGACAAACTTTGTTGCATTTTTACATGATCTGATTGTTTGTGTTTGTTGTCTTTTTAGAGTAGAACTTTGACTCTTGATGTATCAGAAAAATTGGAGAAGTAGTTACGACCAAGAGATGAGCAGAATAAGTTTTTATTGATTCCATATAGGACTTGATTTATTACTTCCTACTAAACTGTACTGTTTGCTTCACTTTTAGCCTGTGTAGTTGAGCTTATTGCCTTCAATTCTATGCAACTTTTTGATCAAGTATTTCTTGATCAGAGTGAATGTTTCATCACACTGACAACTAAAATATATGTTTGTATCAAATGATAGTGCTTTTATGCATATGTATATGTGATTTGAGTTTGTTAACCTTGAAATAGAATCTCATAAGCTATTTAATGGTTAGATGAGCCTCAGCTTCATCACCTCTCCGGGACATGATGATTGATGGGAATGATATCAAGACCAAAGCTATGTCTTATGAGTCATTCCTAGCTCAAGTTCTTAACTGATGCGGCCTCAAATAATATACGTATGAAACCATTATGTTTGTAGGCTTCATTTATCCTACAGTCTTTTCCATCGTAGCATTTGCTCTACAGCTCTCATTTAAGTTTCATGTTTGAAAAATGCATAATATCAGTATCTAATTAGTGGACGAAAGGAATCAAATGAGGCCATAATGAAAAATGAGAAGCTCCAAAAGCCAATCGTTTCAAGTCATGTATGCAGGAACATAACATCAATGCTAACAGATGTCAAAAGACATATGGATCTTGATATGTAGAATAAAAAAATCAATCTAACATGTTTGGTAAAACAACACTAAAAGTGGCTACGTTACTTTTATGTTGTTGAACCATTAGTTACAAACAATGCTTTGTAATCCTCAGTCTATTCTTCAAGTTCCAAAAACCCGGCCAACGGGCGGGGCCCAATGTTAGTAAAAATAGTGAATTTTAGTAGGAAAGAGACATGAATGATGCAACGAATAAAAAATCAGTTTCATGAACCAAAATCAAGTACCTGTTACAATATTGTTTCTAGTAATAGGATGAGGTGGATTAAGTTTTATACAAACCGAATTCCAGAAAATCAAATAAAAAATCGCATATCCCGCCAATTTTCGGGAAATGA